GGGAAGATGAGAAAAGAGACATTGTGATGTGCAGGAAGTTAACTGGTGAAGCTCCTGCCCTGGCATCCATGGGCCCATGCTTTGGAAATGTTACCAACTCCCCTAGGTGGTGTCTCTGATCTGCTGCCCCTGCCAGCAACCCCTTACCACTCTGGATGAATCCAGACCCCACAAAGAGGCACCCTGACTCTGATGGTGGACCTGCAGCCCAATCCTCTGACCCATGTGTTCCCTAAGACCCAGAAATACTGGTAAAAATAGACAAGTCCTGGAGGGGGAGAGCCTAACAAATCTCACCTGGAGTCAACGGGTGTCCGGATGGGGAACAGGGGAAAGGGTACTTGGGGTACTCCAGGGGGTGGAGAGGGGTGGGGCACATCCCTCTGGGCCAGGCTTGGAGCTGTTCCCTGGGAAAGGCTGAGAACCTTCTGACACTGGAAAGAAGGTGGAAGCAAGGGCCACACCTCCTGCACAGGCTGCTTGCTGAGCAGGAAACAAGGGTGAGGACATTGCAGCTCATGTCTGCAGCTGGGGCAGGGGGCAGAGGAGTGGGCAAGCTCAGCAACCTCCCACATTCTCTTTAAGTCCAAGGCCTGGATTATTCAGACTAGGCAACCCCCTTCCAACCCCTTCCCTGTCCCTAAACTCCTTCGCTCAGACCTGGCAATCTGGAAAAATGCACACCTGCCTCCAAAAGGACTCAAGATCCTTTTAGAAAGACCAGTCTTTCTAAAGAGCCCACCACTCCCTGCCCCCACACAGCCCCACTCAGCCCCTCCCTGCCCAGAGAGGCAGCCTGAGAAATTGCATTATAGAGAGGTAGCCTGAGAAATTGCATTATTTGGGCAATAGTGGCCAGAACCCTGCTCTGGGAGTTGGGCGTTCAGGGTTCTAGTCCCAGAGCTGCCTTCCTACCGGTTATTGATGTGGCTCAAGTCACCTCTCTCTGGCCCTCGATTGTCCAATCTGAAAAATGAAAACTGTTGGGCATAACTTTGCGCGCATGAGCCCTGACGTGCACGGGTGGTCCCCGCGCCGGGCCGCACTCGGCTGCTGCTGCGGAAACGGGGAGGCCTGAGGGTGCGACCAGGCTGCCCTCCAGTCTTAGCTCTGTCTAACAGCTGCGGGCCCTTGAGTAAGTCAGCCTCTCAGAGCCTCAGCTGGCCCATCTGAGGAATGGGAATGATGACGTCCACCGTGCCGTGTTGATTGTGAGGATCTGCACGCTGCTGGGCGTGGAGTTTGTGGTGCATACTGGTGATTAGTACAGTTTATCCCCTCTCTCCCCACCGCATCCCCGTTTGAAGATGCTGACGAGGAATGATGGCCGACTCCTCTCACGGGCCTCTGTTCTAGCGCTTGCCACACTGTACCGAGATGTGTTCACACCTCTTTCTCCCCATTAGACTGTGAGGGCAGGGACCCCTTCAGGGACAGGGACTAACTTTGCTATATAGCTTAGAAACACTGTGCACAGAACAGGGGTTCTGGAAGTGTTGAATGAAAATGGAATATGCTTACACAAGTGTCTGCTGGCCCAGAGGGACCTGGGGAAGTGGGGGCAGGTGGGTGGCACCCCAGAAGCTCAAGTACCCGGGTCTCAGCTCCAGCTGGGGTGGATCCCAGGCTGAAGCAGTGGAGGGGCCATGTTTGGTACTCCTCCCCTCTCTGCTAGACGCCAGTAGAGTTGTTCTAGGGCCAGCTGCCTTCTGAGCAATTCCAGGGAGATGGACCCTCAGGGGTGGGAGGCAACCTCTCTGCCTCCAGGGACTTGCCCCAGCTCACACTGCTGCCCGCAGGTACCGCTATTACCAGAATGTGTGCACGCAAAGCTACTCCTTCGTGTGGTGGGACTGGGCCCGCTGGGAGCGAGAGATCGACTGGATGGCACTGAATGGCATCAACCTGGCGCTGGCCTGGAGTGGCCAGGAGGCCATCTGGCAGCGGGTGGGTGCCCACCTAGCCCCTCCACACTCTCCTGCCCACCGCAGAGGTCACCCCAGGTTTCTGTCCCAGCCCCCAGTATCAGTGCAGTGTCTGGCACGCAGAGAATAAGGGCTCCAGAAGTGTTTGTGGTGAGCACTATGGCTCCAGCCCTCTAGAAATGAAGCCTTCCATTCCTGAGACAAGTGTGTCTGTGCACTTACATGTTCTAGAACCCAGCACTCTACATAAACAGTTTAGAGAGCTGGGCTCCTTCCCCACCCCCCACGCCCCTTCTGTCCAGCAGGCGGTCCTTTGGGTCTGTCTCATTAGCAGCTCTTGATCTGCCTCCCTGGCAGCCTCCCTGTGCTCTGGCTGCTCCTGGGGCTGCTTACACTCCTCCCAGAGCTGTCCTGGCTCTTCCGTCTGCCAGCCTTCTCCATGAAGGCTTCTAAGACCCCCTCCCTGGTTGGGAGAAAGCCCCTTTGTGTTCCACCTCCTCTCCCATGGGACGAGGGTGACACATTAGTGAACTCACCCACTCATAGGTGTGTTTCCTTTGGACTGTGGGCTCCTTGCAGGCAGGGGTTGAATTTTGTCTTAGTAGCCCTAGGGACCAGCACAGAGAAGCCATAAATGAATGTATGTTGAATGAATGAATCGATAAGTGGAGAATAGTGTATTTATATGTGTGGGGATCGTCCTCCTCCTCAGGTATACCTGGCCTTGGGCCTGACCCAGTCAGAGATTGATGAGTACTTCACTGGTCCTGCCTTCCTGGCCTGGGGGCGCATGGGCAACCTGCATACCTGGGGTGGCCCCTTGCCCCACTTCTGGCATCTCAAGCAGCTTTACCTGCAGGTAAAACAATGGGGAAAGGTAGGGGTGGAATTGACACTTGATGGTCAGGGGCCCAGGGATGGTGGAATTTGGCCAGCCTCAGGGCTCTTGACTGTGGGGACTGTGTGTGCCCCGGGTGAGTGAGGGCCTCATCCATGGGGACAACAGTGGCAGCTCCCCCCTCATTCCTCCCAGCATCGGATCCTGGACCGGATGCGCTCGTTCGGCATGATCCCAGTGTTACCTGCGTTTGCAGGGCATGTCCCCAAGGCTATCACCAGGTGAGGTTTCCCCCTCACCCCCCACTTAGCTCAGAGAGGGAATTTTTTTTCCAGGCAATATATGACTTAAAGAAAAACTTAAGCTCTAGACTTAGGCCTGCGTTTGCTTCCTGGCTCTGCTACCAACTAGCTGTGTGACCTTGGACAGATTACATGAGTGCTCTGTGCCTCAGTTTCCTCACTTGTAAAATGGGATCCTTACCTACTTTGCTGTAGAGGTTTGTAAATATAGATCTCTCTATATATGACTTGGCACAGTGTCAGCAAAGGGTAGCTCTTGCTAGTGGTTGAGGGGAGTGCTCTGGTGTCCTCTGGCACCTCTGGTGTCCCACCGATGTCACAGTGCTTAGCTCATGCTGCCACCCTCACTGGCTACCCCCTCACCTCCCTCTCCTGTGGCAGGAACCTCATCCATTCACTCAGTGAACATTTGTCCAGCTGTCTGGGGCTGCTAGACCCAGCCCTGGGCTGGGCCCTAGGGAAGCAACAAAAGTGCCCCAAGGCCCTGTCCCCAGTGGGAGATATAATGGCAGAGGGATACAACACAGTGACCAGGGCAGGAACATACGTGGGCCCACTTCTCTGCTGCAGAAGAGGGGCAGAGAGGACTCAGCGTAGGGGCAGTGCTGAGTCCAGTCTTGAAAAAGGAGTGTTGCTGTTTCAGCCAGAGGAGGGGGAGCGATAGCAAGAGCTTTCCAGAGCAAGTGGTGAGGGAGGGAAGAGGAAAGGACCAGGCAGAGAGCACAGGCTGTGCATAGGCACGGGGCATGAGACACCAGCATGCGTTCCATGACCTATAGATAGTGAGGCTGGTGAGGGGTCATGGGCCACGATGATTACGTCAGCCTCAGTAAATGTCTGAGCCTCTGTTCCCCACTAGGGTGTTCCCTCAGGTCAGTGTCACCCAGATGGGCAGTTGGGGACACTTCAACTGCTCCTATTCCTGCTCCTTCCTTCTGGATCCGGGAGACCCCATATTCCCCCTCATCGGGAGCCTCTTCCTACGGGAACTGACCAAGGAGTTTGGCACGGACCACATCTATGGGGCCGACACTTTCAATGAGATGCAACCACCCTCTTCAGACCCCTCCTACCTTGCCGCAGCCACCGCTGCTGTCTATGAGGCCATGATTGCAGGTATGATGCCCAGGGACAGTGGAGAAGGGAAGCCTCCCAGACCCTTAGGGAGATGAAGGTGGCAGAAGTCAGTGTGGGTGGGAGGAGGGACTGGCAATAACACCTAACTGCAACACACAGCACTTCACAGTTTACCAAGCACTTGTACACACGTTGTCTCAGTCCCACTGTGTCTGGAGCCGGACAACCTGGGCACAAACCCTGGCACTACTATTTCCTGCTGTGTGTGACAAGTTACCTCCCTCCCATGGTCTCAGCTGCTTCGTCTGTAAAATGGGGCTACCTTATAGGCAGAATGATACCTGGCCCAGAGTCAAGGGTCATTAAATGCTAGCTACCGAAAAAAGTTTTTTTGGTCTCTACCTCGTTGTTGAGGTAGGTAATGTAGGCCACAGGTTAGGACATGTGCCCAAAGCCAGTAGGTGCCCGTCCTGCTGCACAAATGTGAACTCAGGGCTCCTTCCTGCCACTTACAGGGTAGGAGTGGAGGGGGCCCAAGTCAGGAATGGCTTGGTGGGGAGGCCTCTGTGTTAGCCAGGAGAGGAGATTAGCTGAGATGTCTCTGAGCAGCGCTTCTCCAGGCGTGTTCGGAACCAGTGGCCTCAGCATCACTCAGAGCCTGTCAGATAAGCAAATGCTCAGGCCTCACCCCAGACCTCCTGAACCAGCATCTCCGGAAGCTGGGGCCCAGGAATCCGAGTTTTAACAAGACTTCTGGCTAATTCTGATGCCCCAGGAAGCATGAGGAGCACTATCCTGGCGCTTCCAGTCAGAAGGAGGTGGGGATGGGGAAGGCTCAGTGTGACCCATGTCTGCTGGTGGGGGAGTTACTGGGGAAGGCGTACCCTGTGATGGAGTCATTTAACTTCTCTGCACCTCTGTTTCCTCATCTGTAGAATGGGGTGAACATTCCCCTGGCCCCCCCTCCTCTCATCACCCTTCTTCTCTGTCCTCCCCACACCCCAACTGCAGTGGACCCCGATGCTGTGTGGCTGCTCCAAGGCTGGCTCTTTCAGCACCAGCCCCAGTTCTGGGAGCCTGCCCAGGTCGGGGCTGTACTGGGGGCCGTGCCCCGTGGCCGTCTCCTGGTTCTGGACCTGTTTGCCGAGAGCCAGCCTGTGTACACCCGCACAGCCTCCTTCCAGGGCCAGCCCTTCATCTGGTGCATGCTGCATAACTTCGGGGGCAATCATGGCCTATTCGGAGCCCTGGAGGCTGTGAACCGAGGTCCCAAGGCTGCCCGCCTCTTCCCCAACTCCACCATGGTAGGCACAGGTATGGCCCCTGAGGGCATCGGCCAGAATGAAATAGTCTATGCCCTCATGGCTGAGCTGGGCTGGCGGAAGGACTCAGTACCAGATTTGGCAGCCTGGGTGACCAGCTTTGCTGACCGACGGTACGGGGTCTCCCATGGGGATGCAGAGGCAGCGTGGAGGCTACTGCTCAGGAGTGTCTACAACTGCTCAGGTGAGGCCTGCAGTGGGCACAATCACAGTCCGCTGGTCAAGCGGCCATCCCTGCAGATGAACACCACTGTCTGGTACAACCGATCGGATGTGTTTGAGGCCTGGCGGCTGCTGCTAACAGCTGCTCCCACCCTGGCCACCAGCCCGGCCTTCCGCTATGACCTGCTGGACATCACTCGCCAGGCAGTCCAGGAGCTAGTCAGCTTGTACTACGAGGAGGCGAGGACTGCCTACTTGAACAAGGAGCTGGTGTCCCTGCTGAGGGCTGGAGGCATCGTGGCTTATGAGCTTCTGCCTGCACTAGATGAGGTACTGGCTAGTGACAGCCGCTTCTTGCTGGGTAGCTGGCTGGAGCAGGCCCGGGCAGTGGCAGTCAGTGAGGCCGAGGCCCATTTCTATGAGCTGAACAGCCGCTACCAGCTGACTTTGTGGGGACCAGTGGGCAACATCCTAGACTATGCCAACAAGCAGCTGGCGGGCCTGGTGGCTGACTACTACACCCCCCGCTGGCGGCTCTTCATGGAGGCACTAGTCAACAGCTTGGCCCAGGGCGTACCTTTCCAACAGCACAAGTTTGAGGAGAATGTCTTCCAGCTGGAGCAGGCCTTTGTCCTCAGCACACGGAGGTATCCCAGCCAGCCACAAGGCGACACTGTAGACCTGGCCAAGAGGATGTTCCTCAAATATTGCCCCCGGTGGGCAGCTGGCTCTTTATGACAGATTAACCACTGTTGGACTCTTGTGCTCCCCAAACTCCAGGCCAGGGCAGGTTCCTGGGGTCTGGAGCTGGACAAGCATCACAGGATATCCCCAGGCCTGGGAGAAAGACCCAAGGCCTGCTGGTGGGGTCGGGTACAGAGGGCTAGGAGGGGGGTGAGCTGCCAGGGCAGGTTCCTGGGGTCTGGAGCTGGACAAGCATCACAGGATATCCCCAGGCCTGGGAAAAGACCCAAGGCCTGCTGGTGGGGTCGGGTACAGAGGGCTAGGAGAGGGGTGAGCTACCCTCCACCACCACCCCGACTTTGGGATTAAAGTACTGTTTCCTGTCAATTCAACTAAATGTGAGTCAGCCTGGGTCTGTCAGAATGAGGTCACTGTTACAGTGCCTGGAGGACTCAGCTACAGCATGGACCCGGGTCTGGGGCCAGTTCTCTCCACTCCTTGCCTTGGCTTCCCCATTTTCAATACTAACCCCTGACTTTTGAACTGAGAATGCCCTGCCACAGCATTTTCTTTCACACCCTAAGTGGCAAACTTTGGTAATTATTATTGCCCCTGTGAGACAGAGGCATGCCCTGGGGAAAGACCTGCCCTGGATGCCACTCAGTGCCCACATGGGAACCCGCACCTCCTGCTTGCAAAGCCTCCCCCCTCCCTCTGACCAGCAACTGGGACAGCTTGGTGTTCCAAGCAGTGGCCTCATCTCTGCTTTGACCCACAGCAGGGTGGGGAGGGCAGGCCAGGGACCCACGGGAGGACTCAGCCTTGAAATTGCACTGCAGACATAACAAGGGGAGGGGGCCCCCGGCAGGCGGGGGCGGGGCGAAGCAGGTGATATCCCTCCCAGAGACCCGAGCCTAGGGATCCACGGGCCTGTCCCCGCTCCTGCTCCTCTCCCATGGACCGTACCGTGGTGCTCATCACTGGCTGCTCCTCGGGGATCGGCCTGCACCTGGCCCTCCGTCTGGCCTCAGACCCGTCCCGGAGCTTCAAAGGTATACGAGGGGACTGGGATGGAGAGAAAGGAGGAGCCCCTAAAGATAAGCAGGGAATTCAGATCTCCATCCTCCTCCCAACTTCCAGTGTATGCCACGTTGAGGGACCTGAGGACGCAGGGCCCGCTATGGGAGGCGGCCCGGGCCCGGGGGTGTCCTCCCAACTCCCTGGAGACGTTACAGTTGGACGTGAGGGACTCAGATTCTGTGGCCGCTGCCCGGGCACGCGTGACCGAGGGCCGCGTGGACGTGCTGGGTGAGACTCCCCGAAACGTGCAGGAGACTTCCCTGCCCTGTGTCCAAACCAGATGTCGCCAGGGCCAGGGAACACTAGGGGCCTGGCCCGGGCTGAGTGCGGTGCATGAGGCAGACGGGGTCGGGCCTCTTTCCCCGTAGTGTGTAACGCGGGCCGGGGCCTGCTCGGGCCGCTAGAGTCGCACGCGATGGGCGCCGTGGACTCCGTGCTGGACGTGAACGTGGCCGGGACGGTGCGGACGCTGCAGGCCTTCCTGCCCGACATGAAGCAGCGCCGCTCGGGACGTGTGTTGGTGACCGGGAGCATGGGAGGCTTGATGGGTGAGTGGGGAGAGCAGGGCCAGAGGCGCGAAGGAGGCGGGGCCCGGTGGGGGGCGGGGCCTCGCGTGCGGCGGCGCACCTGTAGGCCGGTCGGCGACGGGCGGGGCCTGGAGGGGGCGGGGCCTCGCGTGCGGCGGCGCACCTGTAGGCCGGTCGGCGACGGGCCGATCCCCTCTCTCTCCCACGCGCCTCAGCAACCTCGTCTCCCCTCCAAGGGCTGCCCTTCAACGCCGTTTACTGCGCCAGCAAGTTCGCGCTCGAAGGTTTATGCGAGAGTCTGGCGGTTCTGCTGCCGCCCTTCGGGGTCCAGTGAGTCACCATCCCGCCCCGCGAACCCTCTGAACCCCGACCTTGGGAACCCGAGCACCCCGTCTTGTACGCCCCCTCCCCCGCCCCGCTCAACTTTGCTGTGTGCCAGGCACTGGGGTAGGCACTTGGCACGCGCTGTCACACTTCACGTACCGACCTAGCTGCTGAGGTGTCGCTGAGGGGAAGCTCAGGCCCACAGGGGTGAGGGGACTGGCGCCAGGTCACACAGCTGTAGGTGACCCAGCCAGGTTCGAATTCTGAAGCCAGAGGCTCTCTCCAGCCTCCAGTGGGCGTGGGAGCGAGCGCTGTGGGGCAGTCAGCCGCTTCCTCAGCGCTCCGCTCTCCCGGGCGCCCGCGCGCAGCTCCTTGCCCGCCCTCCCTTCGCGGCTCGGCGGGCGGCGGGGTCGGGGCCGGCTTGCGAACGCCCCGCCCACTCGCCGCTCTCGGGCCCGCAGCGTGAGCCTCATCGAGTGCGGCCCGGTGCGCACCGCCTTCCAGGAGAAGCTGGAGGGCGGCCCGGGCGGCGCACTGGACGGCGCGGACGCCCAGACCCGCCACCTCTTCTCCCTCTACCAGCGCCACTGCGAGCGGGTCTTCTGCGAGGCGGCGCAGGACCCGGAGGAGGTGACAGAGGTGGGCGCCGGGCAGGGCTCCGGGAGCGGGAGCGGCCTGCCGGTGGCCGCACACAGCCGGAGCCAGCTCTCCCCTTCCCGCCGCCGCAGGTCTTCCTTGCCGCGCTGCGCGCCCCGCGGCCCGCCCTGCGCTACTTCAGCACCGAGCGCTTCCTGCCCCTGGCGCGGCTGCGCCTCGCCGACCCCAGCGGCTGCAGCTACGTGGCCGCCATGCACCGCGCTGTGTTCGCCGACGAGCCCGCCGAGGCTGAGGCTGGGGGAATGGGGGGCCCTGAGCTCGGCGCTTCACCCGCCGCCCCGCAATAAAGGCTTCGTCCGTCGCTGTCTCCCGCGCCCTCCTTTGTCCGCCCCCCCCCCCGGCGGTGTGCG